GACCTATCAAGGACAAGTATTACACAAATTGTGTAATCAACCATGATAAAATGAGAACAACTGCGGAATAGAAAAAATTCAGAAGTACTACGTTCGCATATGACAGTCTTTTATATGCTGCTTAAGCTTTGGTATCAGACACAGACAGCTAAGTTTTCCATCGCTGCTTCAAATTCTTTTAGATCTTACACGTTGCGCTTCACATACCAATTTCTACTTGCGAATTGGCTTCTGCGATAGAATCTGATATCATGGCAGACAAGTTCTCGATAAGAATCCATTCATTGGTCACTTGCCCTCTTATGAATCATAGTTTTTTTGGTCTGTTTCAGTGTCGATGTTCATTCGATGATTTACCATTGCGTCAAGGCATAAGGGCGCATTGATTCAACATTCGAATAACTTATCATAAAGTCGTTCGGCAACCTCTTCAGCAATTGGCTTTTGACCAAATATTGCAACGGCTTGAATTGTGGAAGTGGTGACGTTGTGACTTCATCTGTCTGATCAAATGATGTCATTTCAAAAAGCTGTTAGAATGGACAAGCATTCCATTTAACTAGCTGAATATGTGATATCGACCTCTGGATTCACGAGATGAGGACTCGCAAGCTGTTTTCTCCACTTGGATCTGCCAGTCACTGTCTCTGAAGGTTTAAATTGAGAGTCTGGTTGCAGGCAACATTTATGGGAGATGCAACCGGCTCGTCGAACATCTTCATAAGTGTGGAAATAAGGAGTAAACCAATTCCACCAGTGGAAAGGTCATTCACGACTTTCATTGTGATCTCTTCGACAGCCACGTCTTCATGCCTAGCTGCTATCTTACCCTGGATAGGTATGTGGTTTCATCAGTTCTCCCTTCCAGAATTTGATAGATTGCCATTACGTCGGTGAAAAATTCTCGGTTTCGAAAGAAGTAGACCACAGAATCTGAAAACCTTTCAAGAGTTATTGTCAGAGACCTGGCTCCACTCTTGACGGGTTAAGTGTCAAAATGCAAAATGCCTACGTCGATTACAAGAGCTAGCATGACTGTGTTGAGTATAAAAAGGGAGATCGAGACAATGTTGACAACTATCGCCCAATCTGCCTGCTGTCTGGAATCGACAAACGCTATCCCTGGTAGTGTTTATGTGAAGAGCAGCCTTGCGTGCTAGCCGGTTCCGGAGGGAGTTCAGATCAATTTACACTGTCACAACACTCAGTGGAATATCGCGGAAATACGAAACGTTCTTGTACTCTATTTGTACCCTATTCATCGATTCGAAGAAAGCTATGCCTACTGCCAACCTAGGCACCTACATCACAGTTCCAAGCCCTTGGAACTATGCACGTAGGTGTACCAAATCAGTGACATGAAAATCCTTCGTAGAGCTCTACAGCAATCAAACGACGAAGATTTCTCGATTCTACGGAGAAATCATCCCTAATCTGAAGAGCGAAGCTCGGCAAGGCTATACCACCTCCTTCCCCTGAAGTTTCCACTGTCGCTTACTGAATTTTACCACGCTTAGGAATACGATAGGGCTATTATTGAACCCAACGAAGTCAACGTTCTACCAAGCAACGGATTAATCCCTTATGCTTCTTTTGTGCTCAAGTGAAAACTCCTCAAGTGAGTGAAATTTTTAAGTCTAGCCTCGTGGGCTTTGGCCGAAAGTACAACATGGTAAATGACCTACATGGCTCCAGAGCTGTGCAGAAGGAAACCAGCTGAGTAGGGAGCATTAATAGACATCCACTGAGGGAGTGATGAAGAAGACAAAGAACACCAGCTCGTTGGGTGCACTTTTTCTCGAGGGCTCTCTTCTATAGAAATGATATGCTTTTGCCCTTTAAACGAGTAGGGTTCACTAGATAGACGTCACTGGCACTCCTCCAGGCGATGAATGCTTAGGAGATGGCAGGTGATATGGGTGGAAACGCTCAAAAGTTCAATTCTATCGATGGGCTAGATAGTCAAAAAAATGCTGACAAAAAGGGGTGTTATGATCGATGAGTTCACAGCATCAAACTCGAATGAAATTTTATTCAATATACCTCGCACTGTAAAAGTTTAGATCCGGTCTTACAGACATTGGCATTAAACGCAGTCGAACAAATGGGATAAAGTAGTGAATATTTCTATTGCATGAAAATATCGTGATGAAGAAAATATCAATGTTCGGTTTCCGCGGTTTTTTTGATTCCGGATTGAAATCACGACGGACCAGTGTATTTTTTATGAAAGCTACGCTCCACGTTGGCACACTTCGTCAGTTTTAAACTTTTTCACCCTGCGATTGAACTCACAATCTACAAAATCCGTATTAGCGACTTGGAAAAAGATGCCTAGAGTACTAAAAATAAAAAACTTGCAAAATGTGATGTTTATTGGTTTTTCCGGCAATATCTTCCAGGTAGAGAGTTCAGGAGATGATGGAGATGACGAGGTACGCACAAAACCTGGGTGGCGGTCCATGGGTGTGGTGCGTTAGGAACGAAATGGTCGCGTCGCGGTGAGAGGGGCGTCGCGCGCAAGGGAATGTAGCAGGATGCAGCAGTAGGTAAGACATGCAAGAACAAAAGTACTTATAGTAGAATTATGCATAAAATAATGATTGCATATTGATTGAGCTGTATGAAGATTGCTAGAGCTGTAATAACGGTGAATGAGTGGTCCGCGACAGCCGCGGGCGGCAAATCGATTACCCAAAATCGTTCCTAACGCCCGTCTCCCGCGGTCCATTGACTTCAGCTACGGTTCACAGGAGCGTTTCAATTGTAATTGACTTTTCTGAGAGTTCGAAGGTTTGTTCCTTCTAGATCTTACCAACGCTTCTAGCATTTACAAGAAAAAGTTCTTCATTTCCAATCCTTCTTCCGTCAATAAGCTAGATTGTCGAAGCATCGACCGACCTGTAAAATTCTCGGTCTCTATACATCGACCAGTTGGGCTATGCACGCTAACGCGGGGCATTATACGTCGACGATCACTTATCTACGATGGAGTCATTCAACGGAGTGTTGGATTATTGAAAAAAGACAGTTTCCTCCAGATTTAAATGCCGAACTGCTGAGATGAGATTGAGCTGAATTATTAGTTGATGATCATATTAGGTGTGTGCATTAATTTCCGCCGCCGAATTCTAAGGGCCGCTGCGCGAATGATGTTAGAGGCTTATCGGTGAACACTGTCACATTGTGTAAGATAGGGTATTGGCTACCTACTTAAGGGCAGACAGATCAGTTTTTCCCCAAGATCCCGTTGCTCTTAGACTGTTTGGTCATGGAACGTGATTAACCGTTTTCCCGGGGGGGGGGGGCTTCTCCTGCTGTCTGATGTCAAGAAAAATGGCATTGAAGCCCACCAGATGCGTTTCGATGCTTATGGAGAGCAAGCTCCATTTAAACGAACCTGCTGATATGGTTTCTCTTCACTCGAGAGTTTGCATCGAAAGCGGAAAGCAAAAAGTAACGCTGTGTGTGCATTCGGTATTGGGGTCAAAAGGGTGTTGTGTACTATGAGCTGCTGAGCCCGAACGAAACTATTACTGCTGCGACGAACACCAACTTGACAGTTTGTAGGACGCTCTCACCTGAAAGCGGCCGTTAAACGCAAGAAAATGTCATGAGGTGCTGTTCCACCACAAACATGCCAGACCCCATGTTGCGAAGAATGTTCTTAAAAGCATTGCAGTTGTTGGACGGGATCTGAGTGTTGAGCCCGCATACTCTCCGGATCTTGCTCTTTCTGATTACCACCTATTCCGGTCCATGCAAATCAGTTTGGCAGATACACGCTTCCGGAATGTCAAAGAAGTGTGAAAATAGGTGGATATCCGGATTGCCTCAAAAGATGAAGACTTTTCTTGACCCTGAGTCAACAAAATACCAGAAAGATGGCAAAAAGTTGCAGCTAACAATGGGCAATACATTAGTTTATGTACATTTGGTTTCAACTTCGTAATAAACATGTTTTCGCACTCAAAAAAGGGCGGAAATTTATGCACACACCTAAGAGCTCCATACATCTCAGCGCAGACCCTTCCCACTGTGAAAAAAAACTTGACCACTCTTCTTTTACCTGTTCCTAACCATTTTCTCCTTCTCCGCATTGTAGAGGGTTTTTGAAAAGATGAATTTTCGGTCCTAGCCCCGCTTTCCTGTGCCAACCCCGCCCATTTCGAAGATTTGACCACATTTGTTTCATTACCTCTGACCACTTTTTTCCCTCATTCTAGAACGTTTCCAAAAGAAGTCATATTTATTTTTTGAAAAGCAGCTTCCACCTCAACCGTCTATCGTGGCCGGGGCTTCGCTGTGCTTACGTAAGCCCAGCACGCAGAAAGCCTTGCTCACTCATTTTATTTTTTTCCTGGCCTCAACGTCTTCTTCAAATCGAGCTATGAATATCTGTGGAATGTACCGCCCACTGTGAGAACCCTCCGCCCACTACCGGTAACGTTCCTTCATTTCAATTGTTGACCCATCCCTCACTTTTGCCCATTTTTTCTCGGCGTCTAGACGTTATGGAACCTAGTCAATAATTTTTTGTCTATGACACCGCCCCCGAACTCCAGCAGCCATTCGAGAAGCACTTGAACGGGAAGTTGTCCATGAAAGGACTAAGGAAAAGTGAGTGGGACGTCTTGGGACGGAAGACGACGGCGAACCAGCCTAGGTTGAGTACGAAGATGCACGAAGATGGCTTTTTATGTAGTGCACCACAGATTATCACAGGACTTTGGCCGTTGAGAATATTTCCTAGCTGAAAAATCTCTTGTGGGCTGCTTGTATTCATGAAGAAAAGAAACACACTTTGGTCAAGATTTATAATCTAATCAATCATTCATTTCATTACATCCAAGAGCAAGCCGCCTAGTGTGTGGCGATACCGTGGAGTAGCAATGGAGCATACAGAGCTCCTCTGCAAGCACTGTAAAATACATGGAATGTAAGGACCCGGGATCAGAAGCGACATAGAAAGACTTGCAGAAGTGTTAGAAAACAGCGGTTTAAGTTTTCGCCATAGCCGTTATCCTCATTTGCTTGCTCGCCATTCCGTTGGTTTGCTCCCCTTTACCGTTGCCGCCATTTCGGAAGAACATCGGATTCCGTACAGCCAGTCGTTGGCCGGCAAAAGGCGGTCGCTGACTTCGAGTAGCACCGTTGGTCTTTCTCTGAGCTCCGCTTACGACAACTTTCAAATCCTCTTCTTCAGTATCGTGCCGACCTTTTGCAAAAGAAAAAGTGGCCTGCGAGGGTAAACTGTTGGTAATGGTGCTGTCAGAAGCTTCATCCGGTATAAAGTGAGTAAGAGTGGGATTGGCGACACCATGGAGACTTCCCTCATCCGTCTTCATTAAGAATGATTGCACTCCCATTCTAGAAAATACCTCGAAAAGCATATTGTTCAAAGCCGTTTCTTGGGAAGTTGTGTCATTATGTTTCTCCCACACTGCGGAGTCGCCTAGCGGAGAATGCGTCGATAAGTTTTCCATTGACCTGGAAGTTAAGTGTTGTAAAGCAAGGTTAGGTCTTGGAGATTGGATAGTGGAGAAATTTGGCCGACTTGTAGTGAAAGGTGAATAAATAGTAGTCCTTTGCAACTGTTTGACTCGAGCTAGCCTCATTTGGTTAGTGTTCTGTTTGAAAGTAGCTCCCTGTAGGTTATTGCTACTTGGGCGTCCTAGTCTTGGACGTGAAAACGTTGGTAGGACAGAAGTAGTTACAGAATGCCGGGGTTTTGCAGAAACACTGGTCCTCCTTCGCTCTGATCTTCCAGTTCCGCTCGCGCTCGTGACTGGCAACGGTCTGTTTCTTAATGTTCTACCAGTATGAGTCTTTCTTTGCTGCGGCTGAGACACTGTCTCACTAAAGTCACTGGCTCTACGATCCTGTATGATAAACTCTTTTCGCCTAGTGTAAAGATTTTTGGTTTGAAGTTGTTGTGCGTTTGGGCTTACAGCCGGAGCTCCCCGAAAGTCCCCCCTAGCGGAGGTCCGCCACGGATAAGTTCCTCCGTAACGCTTTTGTGAACTATGGGCAAGGTGAACTTTGACTTGGGATTTCTCCCTCAGGTAAGGTTGCTTGACAGTTTTTCTAATTGCTGACTTGGAGGTCATTCCTTCTCCAAGTCTTTTCTCCTTGAAATATGTAGGTTCCACTTGGATCTGAGTTCTTCCAAAAGGTCTGTTGCCTATCTCATTCAAACGGATTTTTCGGTGCAACGGGTTTGTCGGAACTAACGGCTTCTTTCTGGAAATATAGCGGGATGGTGATGTATCTTGGCTGTACGATGTCCTCATCTGCTTCCCCTCATCTCTATCCTTACTTACAACTTTCCTCTCAGATCCTTGCTTGCTTTCAGACGCTGAGTTTTGATTAGAAAGGGAGAGTCCTCTTGAGCGAAAGTTCATTCCCCTCAAACCTTGAACAACGCCACTCTGAGCTTCATTTTCTCGCGATTTTTTCGTGAAGTAGTTTCTACTGGATAAAGCAGAGTGCTCTCGGTTGAATGAATGAGCTGACGGAACGAGGTGCTGGGTTCTGTAAAAGGGCGATGATGGAGGCTGATCAGGCCGACTTCTGGGAGATGTTGTGGATGAATCGAGAGTAGAAGTAGATTGTTCCTGAAAAAATATCGCAGTAATAAATCCTAGTGCACATCTGGGATGCTTACTCATAGGTGAGAAAGAGCTTAACGTGGCGAATTGATATAATGTGAAAGCGGAGCATATCAAGCATATCAGCATCGCATTGGCCCCTTCTCTTTATCACCCTTACCCAGCCCTGCATCGGTACATCACCATTTAATTGGCTAGGACGTTTGAGAGATACAAAGATTGTTCAAAGCATTCATAACATTCACCGGTACCGCAGCAATAAGTGAATTAGCGATTATCTTCTCGATGTCCGACTTCTGAATTTGCTCGGCGTCCTGAGGCAACTCTTTCACAATTGCTGACACGTCCCGTAGAAATTTCACCAGAGCCTGCAATATAGCGACAAAGTCTAATTACATATAGTCAAACTAAAAAAAGCCATTCCGAAGTGCTTTTGGCGTTTGCCATAACTAAGTCGAGAAAACCAAGTTTTTTTCGATATTTTTTCTAAAGCATGAGACTCGAGTTCCACGCTTTCCTCAGTAGAATCCAATTTTATGGTCATAACTAGTTCGTGGTAAGCTGGTCACACAAAGTAGACCTGGAAAAAATGACAGAGGATTTCCGATCTACGGTAGAAAATGTAGGCCAATCGCCACACATTCTTCTATTTTAGATTGAGCCTCCAATTCATATGAGTAATAATGATGATGATAAGCGACACTTTACTACAAGAAGAGGTCAGGTTCAAAGCGTTCAAGGGGACAAGGCTCAAACTAGGTTATCATGTCAGAGAGTCAGAGCTGAAGATTGTAGAGTGAGCCGGGAGAAGTTCTCTATCCCAATCCCGTAAATCCCAGATTCTTCGGGAACTCGGTCTTGCAACATGTGCGTGAGCGTTGCTAGGAAATAAATGATGACGTGCTTTGGACGCTTTTGACGTTAACTTCTGCCATGCTTTGAAAAATTTTCTGCAGAGGACCCTTCCGTCAAATTTGAACCTGTTGAAGAGCGCAGTTCGATTTTGACTGGAAGGATTAAGGAAAGTTGCTATTCCCGGAAGAAATGTCATCACATTGGAAGCATTCATTTTAGCGGAAAACGCCTGCATGGCGATTGATAATGTATTCGTAAGTCCTGCAGGTTCGGGTAATGTGTGGAAACTTCGCGAATCTCCCTCCTTACCACAGTTCCAAAATGTAAATCTGGAATACCTAAATGAGTGTTTTCTTTGCAGGATGGATTGTTTCTCTAAAATGGTGATTGGAAGATAGTAAAAGCATCAGTAATTGGATAAGTCAGAAACCTCAAACAAGAAAGAAGGTCAGGGAAGTCGTTTACATCTTCACACGCCCTCAGAATACAGTATATAGAGCAAACTTATTTTCAGGCTTTATCGTTACAAAGCTTATTTCGAACTTGCGTGCGCCGTAACATCCTTTTGAGACGGTTTCGAAAGCATGTTTTAAGCACATTTGGTTTTATTTGTCTTTTGCTCAAAATGCCCATCGCGATTTAATGTCAGCATGAACTTCTTACAACATTCTTTGATAATTTCTGATGGTCTCTCATAATAGTTCGTAACCTTTTGTGAAACTTGTAACCGTCGAGGCTTTTTTTTCCGGATACCTTTAACACTCTCTATACCTGGATTGGACCCCTCCCCTCCATTTTTTCTTCATTCCCTGTCTTGTTTCGTTACACTTTGACTACTGGGCTGAGGTAGATAGTGCAGTGGCAAAAGGCGCACTATCTCACATGCACGGTCACGGGTTTCTCTGATCATCGGCTCTGCTTAGGCCAACCAAGCTTCCCATCCCTTCCGAGTCGGTTGAACCAGATCCGTCGGGGAAGATAAAAGCACTGAGTTGCACATCGGCTGACCACCGGAAGTCATTGTATATGCCACATACGCATTCATTACTCACTGCGATTCTAAATGGAGGTCGAATGCGTGGGCGCATCCTTTTGACGGGATTGATTAACATCCCAAGGCACTTTTCTTTATCCTTTAGTTTAACTGCTGTGAACAGTCTGTATACAGGCATTTAATCTACCTATTTCTAACTCAATTTTCACCTTACCAGTTGCTGTTGAAAATCTTCTCCCCCCACTCAGCCCCCTGACTCCACAGCTGCCTATAGGTTGACCGGCTACTGCTCTTCTTTTTTTAAGCGGCCCAGTTGCCTATCCCCCTCCCCCACAAGCTTTCCTTGTGATCCTCTACGTAAATATCAATGTAATACTTCATTCTTGTAGTTTTGTATAATTTGTAATTCTGATGCTATTCCGAACCTATCCTAACTTTATATTAACACAACTAGTGGCACAGTTTCTTTTCTAATTGTTGCAGTCCAACACAGTCAAATAAATGAAATGAAGTAAAATTTTTTCCCTCCTCAAGCAAGGAAGGATGTATTGCAAGACATTGGGTAAACGTGGTATTGAGAGCGATATTTTGTCTATTGAAGACGCTACCATTCTCGCTACTTTTCCATATCACTAGTGTAAGTTAGCAAACTGCTGCTCTCACCTGGTTTAAATTCTTCACGAAGACAGGGCTCACTGTTTGTTCGCTTCCTTGCCCATTTTTTGAGAAGTCTTCTGCGTCTGTAGGCACTGACATGTAAACAACAAAATGTCATTAGTATCAGAACACCACCATAACTTGTGAGATACATTTTTCGAAATTTCTGCTGTAATTTAGCACAATTTCATAGAAATAATTTCTTGCAAATAGTTGCTGTATGATTTTTGTGAATACTGGCTATTCTGTCCTTCACAGAGTAAATATCTTCCCAAAATTATGCCATGTCTCTCCCTAATTGGTAGAATGGACTGACTAGAAAACTTGGTCGATTGTAGGGGAATAATTCCTTCCAAAATCCCATGTACATATTGACTGGAAGGAAGCAGGAATGCATGGATGCAAGCGTGTTGCAAACGGATATCACCTATATGATTAATTGAGTTTTCTAGTTGGAATCCTACTTTCGTCCTTTTAGACTGCAAGCCTGTACAGTGCTACAGCAGATTCCCTGAGTCAGGTCCGCTAGAGGGTCTCAATCTCTCTGAGAGCATGCAATTCAAAAAATCTTGATTGATGCATAGTTTTGCCGTGCTTTCTGCAAGTTTCTTCTGGAACGTTTTCCAGTTGCTTACAGTGAGTCGGTTTCAATCAGTTCGGGTCATCCCGTTACTGTCATTAACTCAAGCCTGGATCCCCTTTCTGGATGGAATATGTTGTAGGGGTCGTACGTCTCACAACTGTCACATCAAAACTTTTGGAGAAAAAACATCGTCTACGTCGATGTCAACCGTTCTTATTTATCTGTCACTCACCTTTTTTGTCTTCGGAACTAGTCTTTCCGCGGCTCAAATCATTTCTGGACTCTGGTGGATGCAATTCCTTGGAGTTCTGCAAACATAGCGAAACTACTGAGGATTCATGAAAAACCTCATACGAAAAAAAGATGGGATACTTTGCGATTCGGCGATTCCCCGAGAATGGCTCAGTGTCAAACAGCTATTCTAGGGTTGATTAGTTTTTCAACCCCTTCGAATTTAAGCCATGTTTTCAAAAGGATAGCTTACAGTGACAGCTATCCTTAATCACGATTCGTTAAAGTAGTAGCAGCATAACGGGGGTCAGGGAACTTCTCCCCTAACACGGCGTCGCACACGCCGCACCCGCCGCCTATCGCAGGATTGCGATGAAAGATTGGAGCGCGCAATTTGTGAGGTAGGGAGTCCTTTAACCATTTGAATTGGCTGGTCGCTTCCTTCAATTTCAATGCGGTATTGATCGTCGTTTATATAAGAGGAGTCATTTTAATTAATCAAGTCTGATAAACATGAAAACTAAAAAGAAACCGAAGAAAAAACGATGAAATCCAATGAAAAAGCAAGCCAGTCAAGGAAAAATATCGCGTCTTATCGATTTTCGGGAGGCGGGGTGAGTACGGTAATTGCAGTGATATTTGCCGCATGCCGCAAGGGAGAATGCCGCGATAGGGGAGAAGTTCCGTCACCCGCATAACGGCATTGCTATTATCAAATGTCAAAGTCATTTGATAAGAGCCAGCCGGCCGAATGCGGATTTTACTATATATGAACTTATTGTCGTTCATTAACTAGCTGGAATTGATTCAACATGGACTAGTTTTCAATGTTTCTAGTGAGATTAGAATATTCTTATGCCGTGCGAGGTTGTTAGATGGAACCGATTGTTACGGCGAATGCAAAACCCATAATTTGAAACATAGCTCACTGAGGTTCCACCGCTCAAGCGGATATAAAATCCGCTGTCGTCACAAGCGACTGTCAGTAGCGAATGAGACTTATTGGCCGTCTCTCTTATTCTTATGGTAAAGAAGATCACATTATAATGCTACGTAGTCACAAGCTGCTGTGCGGTATATACGACGAAAGGTTGTTGGTTATGGGCATTCATCTCTTCCTTTCATTTGAAGATTTCTTCGGAAAATCCGGAACGCCTCTTTTGCCCTTCTCGCTGAAATCTCCGTCTCCTGCGCTAATATCGTGCACTTAACTTAAAAGTTGTGGCCGTTATGCTCCTCAATTTTATGCCTACCAAGCGCCGTTATCAGCCTGCCACGCTTCATACTGGCTAGTCGTTCCTTTTTTTCGTAGGATAAGCTAATTGTCTTCCCGTTTCTCCGATAAATATTGACCCACATGTCCGGCATTCCATCTGGTAGATCACGCCTATCAGTGGGCAATCACCTGTTTTTCCGTAGGGACATATCATGCAATCTTTTGTTATGCACTGCTTAACGTAGGGCCTACTTCGAACTAATAGCTGCTTGGTATTGTTATTAGGAATGCTCACTAATTGTACAACATCTTGCAGAACAGTTCTGAAAATGCTCCGCTGTACATCACTGCTGACTTTATCAGAGATGAAGGGAAGATATAGTGGTAACTTATTTCGAGACATCGCACGCTGCGTATTAGTGCAACATTTTCTACGACCTTGTGACATCGTATAACCGTTCCAGCGACTTTCTCACGAGCTAAACGTCGCGATTCGATTCATCTAGCTCCACCCGTGCAGGCATTTGTTGCTGTTCTCAACATGTTGCTGACGATTGCACGTCTAACGGCTTGTGAATGAATTAATGAAGCGTGAAGTAAGATGTTCTTAGAACTAGTTTTTCAGTACCACCTGACACTAACAACGCCACTAGATACTTTGCCTGAGTGTTGAGGTAAGGGAGCCAATCATCACGTGGAACCACGGGTGAGGTTAATGTACTGCGACTGTTCATTCATGATACGAAAACACTCGTCCATTTCGAACTGTGTTGATGTTACGATGAAGCAGTCATCGATATATCTACAGTACATTAAAGGATTCCGTTCTAGAACCGGTTCTTCGATTCTGCCCATAAAGCACACAGTAAGAACCGGTGCTAGCCGTTGACCCATAGCGAGACCTCTGACTTGAGAAAAGTACTTCCCTGCCCATTTGAAGATGTTACACGTTAAGCATTCCTTGACCAACGCATTATATGCATTTTACTAAGTCCAAAGGTAACAATATTATTAGCATGCCTATCTAGCATTTCAGGTAATGACCTACTCGTTTTGAACTTTAGTATAAAGCGGAACGACGTCAAATGACTCAATTACCTTACTCTTATCGAGGTCAGAGCCATGTAGTAGTTCAAGAAAATGCTCAGTACTGGGCAGGTTGAGAGCAGTTGAGAAACCACGAGATTCTATCGGTTGGTCCCCTACACAATGGCTTGGGCAGAATTTTAAAAGTGTCCGGTGATGTAGACAGCGCTTCGTTCGTACAGTGTTTGTGGGT